CAACCACTGGAGGAGCTAACAACCATTTCAAGTCCGTGGCCTTTCTCCAAGTGGGGCATCGACATCCTAGGCCCCTTGCCTCTCAGCAAAGGACAGTGCAAGTTCGTGGTGATGGCAATCGACTATTTCACCAAGTGGACAGAGGCCGAACCCTTAGCTAAAATCACAGACGCGAAAGTCAAAGATTTTATCTGGAAGAGTTTGGTCTGTCGCTTCGAGATTCCCCACGCCATTGTCAGTAATAACGCCAAGCAATTCGACAATAAGCTGCTATACTCTTTCTACTCCGACCTTCAAATAAAACAACCTCACTCCAGCCCAGCACACCCGCAGGCAAATGGACAAGCAGAGGTCATGGTAAGAACAGTGCTACGCAACCTAAAGACAAGGCTTGAAAGAGCGAAGGATCTTTGGGTAAACGAGCTACCTGGAGTATTGTGGGCCTATTGAACCACACCAAGAACTCCTACTGGGGAGACCCCTTTCTCCCTCGCCTTTAGAACTGAGGCGGACATCCCTGTGGAAATCGGGGTACACTCTCTAAGGGTCCAACACCACAACCCCATCACCAACGAGGAAGGACTCCACATCAACCTCGACTTGGTGAAAGAGGCAAAGGAGATGGCTGTGGTCCGCAACGCGGAGTACAAACGACGCATGGCGAAATATTACAACTCAAGGGTGAAGCCTCGTTCCTTCCAACCAGGGGACTTGGTCCTCAAGAAAGTGATCCTCGCCACAAAGGATGCACACAAAGGAAAGCTGGGACCGAATTGGGAAGGACCCTACCTCGTAACAGAGGTGGTGAGGCCGAGCAACTCTAGGATCCAGAATTCTGAGGGAAAAGTCTTACTCCATCCATGGAATGCAGAACACTTGAAGAGGTATTACCAATGACACCCTGAGAGTATCAAAATAGTGGAAGTTGGGACTTGATTTTATTTTTTGGGGTTATTACCCAATATTCAATGTACCTTTTTGGGAATTATTACCCAATGTTGCTTTAAATAAACAATAGATTAATAAAATTTTCTACGTTTTTACTCCAAAAATATCTTTTGCATTTCATTTCAAAAGAGTATCAGTACAAAAGTGAGGCTATAAACTGTATTTCTTAAAAAAAAAAAAAAAATCAAAAGTCCTAAACTCTCTAACTGCTCTCACGGTCGTCCTCCACCTACTCCTCCTCCTCATCATCCTTGACATTATCAGAGCCCCCCTCACTATCATTAGTAGGCACGAAACCTGAGAAGTCGATGTCTGGGAAAGCAGCAGAGATCTTCCCTCGGAGCTCCTCGAAACCATCAATAAAAGCATTTGCGAGGCCATTCTCCAAGTCTTCCTCAGCACAAGAAGCTCTCTCCTGAGCGGCCTTCAACTTTGCCTCCACAACAGCAGCCTCTTTGAGCATGGCCCTCTCATGGGTCTCTACAAGGTCAGCCTCCCTGAGCGCATTCCTCTCATGGGTCGCCAGACGCTCAGCCTCAAGCTTAGTTGCCCGCTCACGGGCCTTAATAAGCTGACCCTCCTTGAGCGCGTCCCTCTCACTGGTTGCCAAAAGCTCAGACTCAAACTTGGTTGCCCTCTCGTGAGCTGCCACAAGCTTATCCCGAGAAGCACTACCAGCTGCCTCAAACTCGGCAATCCGCCCTTGAGCAATAAGAAGCTCCCTTTGCACGACATCAAAATCCAGCTTCAGTTTGTCGTGATTATAGGCCTTTGAAATCAAGCAGACAGATGAAGTCGAAACCTGAAGATGAAAGGTACAAAGGTGACCAAAGACGTAAGAAAGAAGTGGGGAAAGGGAAATTGTAGACCCTTACCTGAGCCAGGCCTTCCAAATATGTGTTGGCAATCCTCTCAGTGCCAGAAGTACTAAGCTGACAAACTTCGGATGCGAACACAAACCTCCCAAGCCTTTCTCTGATGACTGGCGGTCTACCCATCATGGGACCAAGCCAAGTCGGTCCTCTAGCAAAGGTTCCCACATGAGGAGGGGACAAAGCAGAAGCAGAAGGTGTGCCCGACAAGGAAGACTCTGGAGTAGCAACTGAAGAAGTTGCTGGTTGAGGAGGCACCGCCGTAGGAGTCACTTGGGGGGGGGCATCACCCGTCCTCGCCACCTTGGAAGAATGAGGGCTCTTGCTAGAATAGCGAGACACTACCACCTTTTTACTTGCTGCGAAAACAATAAAGTGTCAGAGAGGTGAAAAATACCAAGAGGAAGAGGAAAATTAAAGGAGGAAACTAACTCACCATTTTTCTTTGAAGAGGAATCACCAGATTTCTAAGAGGGAGCAACGGCCCTAGTATCCTTGGGCAGAAGAGCTCCCAAATCTTTGTAAGGGCAAGCCTTGATGGTCTCCAACTTCCACTCCTGATCTTAAGAAAGTACGGGCGTGTCTGCAAGGGAATGGTGAGCACAAAAAAAAAAAAAAAAGCAAATGTGCAGCGTACCAGATTTTCTGACAGCACCCCAATATATTAGCACCAAACCTCTGTTGGCTTCTGCGGCCCCCTCTCCACCAACAAAGAAAAAACAAGATTTCCAGCCGCAACAATTGGAGCGCATTCCCGTGAGCACCGTACCACTTCTTGTGGTAAAGTAATATCACCCCTTATTTGGTGCAGGAGTTTCGCTCAAATTATATGCTGCATGAAACTCCACAGGAGAAGCATCCTCATGATGCACTTTCCTCCATAATGCAAGAAAACCCAGCAGAACTCTCCAACTATTGGGCGCTAATCGCCCTGGAGTCAAGGAAAAATAATGCAAAATACGGCAAATGGTAGGGGACATTGGGAATCTTAGCTCAGCCTCAAGCATTTCCTCGTAAACAACAATATCACCAGAGGAGGCGTCGCAAGCAAGCTCACCCGTCTCAGCCCGGCGACACAGCACAATCGAAGGAATACGATAAGTAGAAACAAGCCTCAAGATATCTCCATCCGAATTGAACAAACTGGAAAGGATACTCACCTTAGACCCATCGTCATCAAGTCTCAGTTTGCCTTTGCGCTTCTTCTTTCGAGGCCGTAAGGAGTGGCCCGAGCTATCGTCTTGAGGGATTTGGCTTTGAGAAGTCATACTTGGAGAAGTCAGATCGTGATGACCAAAAGCGGCACCCGAAGCTTCCTTGTCGTTTGCAGTGCTTAGCCCAGCACTTGGAGAGGTGTCTGACGCTCTATGCTCTCCCAAACGAGATAGCCCAGCACCTGGAGAGGTGTCTGACCACCTTTGCTCGCCCAAACGGGGCAGCCCAACGCTGCCTGACGCTCCAAAGTTGCACAAAACAGCTCCAAAGGCGCCCGAATCAGCGCCTAAAGTGATGCCCAGGCCTGCCCCTGCGCCCAGGCTGCTGCCCAGCCCCCCTGCTCGCCCACTGTGCATGCCTGTTGCGCCGCTTGATGGTCTGAACAACCTCATTTTCAACCTGCACGCGGCTGTCCAGCTCCCTGCTATGCGCGCCCAAGCTGTCCAGCATTCTGCTCTGCGCGCCCAAGCTACCCAGCCCTCTATTTTGCGCACCAAAGTTGTCCAGCACTCCACCCAAGCTGTCCAGCTCTTTGTTCTGCGCGTCCAAGCTGTCCAGCCCTATTTTCTGCGCGCCCAAGCTGTCCAGGACAGCATTTTCAGCACCTAAGCTGTCCAGGACAGCTCCTTCAGCACCCAAGCTGTCCAGGACAGCCCCTCCAGCACCTAAAGTGGCACCCTGTTCAGCACCTAAAGTAGCACCTACCTCCTCCCTTCCTTCGATCTCCACCACTCCCTCTTCAATCGACATTGCCCACTTGAAAACTCCACTCAAAAGGAAGAAATCCCACCTATATATATATATATATATATATATATATATATATATACACACAAATGGGTATGTATATATATCAATATACTCTTGGAAGGATTCAAGAAGAACACACTTTTTCCTCTCAAGTTCCAACGAAATGGGTAGGACTTGGGTTTTTAAAGTTCTCAAGAATGGATGCTCAATCTCAAGGTAAATGAAATGGGTAGAACTTGGGCTTTCAAGATTTTCAAGAATGATTTTCAATCTCAAGGTGAGTGAAATAGGTAGAATGAAGAAGAAGACTATATTTATAGTCTAGGGTTTTTAAAAGAGGAAAAGTCCAAATTGAAAATTATGGGCCCTCTTAAAAATCCTAACAAAAGTGGGAAAGGCTTGAAGTATGCACCAAAGCCAAAAATAATTATACAAATGAAGAGTCAATGCCTCCTTCTCCAAGTTTCCTTAGACATAGGAGGCATTGGAGGACAAATGATAGGTCAAGCCCAAGAAGAACCCAATTTATTTGGAAAACCCAAACCCCAATTGAAGAGCTCAGTCTTATAAAGACCCACCAAGCCCAATATTATCCAAATCCAATCTCATCAGTTCAGCTACGTCATCAAGACAGAGAGAGAGCACGGAGCCTTACCTGCACCGCCAAGGAAACAGTCTACCCTCACCTTATCCTTGACCGCATCTCATGGAGAGCATCTCAACCACCTCGCCCGTTAAGAAAAAGTTGTGAACTCCACCGAAATGGTTGATTAGTTGCTGTAAAATAGCCCCAACTTGTTAGGGGGCCACTATAAATTGCACGTCCCACCAACACTTGGGGGGCATCACACATCACCTGAGCACGACTCTGTCATCTCCCTCAAAGCTTGTACTCTCTGCTCCCCACACCCTTGAGTTAATAAAATACCCGACAACTAGAGTCATTGAAGAGTGAACGTAGGTCAGGCTGACCGAACCACTATAAATTGTCTGTGTCTCCCTATCTCCTGATTTTATTTTCTTGCATTTATTATTCACACTTGACCGGTGGTGTGCAAAACCATTTTGTGCATCATCAATATAATTAAGAAAAAAGCTAGTGTTTTAATTAGTCCAACAATTTTAAGAGTGAAAAATCAAGCATAGCAGCAAGAAATGAAACATAAATTGGAGCTAAGACATGAGAATTGAAATGAAACATAACATGTTTGTGTGCTATATATATACCTCCACAGTGTGACAATTATCACTGTTTCTGGGGTCCACTAAGAAAGTGACCTTATCACCTTCCATGCCCAAAATGCGCTTCGTTATCGTCCTTCTAGGGTTTTCAGGTGAACGAACTAAAACAACGTCTCCTGGGCCCACCATACCCAGCAGGGTCGATATCCGCTCCGTCAATATCACATCGCCGGTCAGGTTCAACGTAGGTAGCATACTCGGACCATACACCTAAAACCACCAGATTGTTTTACATTCCTCCATACACAGGCATATATATATATATATATATATATATATATAAAAGAGAGAGAGAGAGAGAGAAATTTAACATACGATGGTGGGGGAACAAACGTAGGTGTCGGTCAAATGGAGCAAGCAGAGGAACTTTGCCACAACCTTTGCTGGACCCAATGCTTCTTTTGCGAAGCTCTTCCAACGGCTCATTGATCCCAATAGTCTCTCTCTCTCTCTCTCTCTCTCTGGAGTTGGCGCTGCGAAACAGCTGGAACTAACTGTGTTGCTTTGGAAGAGAAAACGGGCTAATGTGGGTGAAGTTGGGTCTCAAGTGTATCCGAATCGGGGATGGATTAGGTCCTCCTGGGCCCGACTACGGACGCCCAAACACAAAAAAAAAAGATATGACATGGTACCATACCCACACTCAAATTAATCTATAATTATAGTATTTAGTTTGATTGATTTGTAATTATTAATAGTTAAAAAATATTATAAAATAATAGGATAAATTATATCAAATATAAAATTAAGTGATATATCAAACTATTTTTCTTAAACCAATCTTCCCAAATCCATCCAAACTTGATAAATAAATATATAAATAAATATATATATATATATATATATATATATATATTTTGCTAGTTAAAAAAGGGATAGAGATAAGGAAGAGCAATCAACAACCACCACGTTAAGCCCTCATCGATAAGACTATAAAATTCTTGACTGCGCTTGAAAAATTACTTGAGACCAAACCTAGTTAGCTTAACTTAGCGGTCAATTACCGAACCCTGATAAAGACTCCAAAACTCAAACTCTTGGTAAGGATAAAAGGACAGGCCCATATTGATAACACATAATGTAGTCCTTAAGGGTGTCAAACGTGTTGAATTGAGTTATTTCGTGTCGTGTTTGTTTCGTATTTGTATCAAAAATTCCTAAACACCAATATGACATGTTTAATAATTGTGTCGAGATATGTAAACATTAATCTGACTTGTCCATTAAACGTGTTACCCAAACTTGACATGTTTGACACGGTTAATAAACAGGTTATTTTCAAGTTAACGCATTACACGACATGTTAACTTGTTTAACTCACATATCAAATTTTATCTGCTTAACACCTTTAAAAAAAATTAAAAAGATTTTATTGAATAAAATTCAAAAAATTACAAGAAATAAAAGAAATTCAATTCCTAACATCCATTTTCAATTAAATGGCTTTAATCCTCTAAAACATGCAAAAAAAATTAGAAATTTCTTCTATGGGCACTAAAAATAATCATTTCAATGCTTGCACAATCATTCTAGCTCCATATCTACTCCAACAAGGCCAGCAGGCAGCTACAAGTTGCTACAAGTTTTCAATGTTTGCACAATTAACCCACATACAAAGCAATACATTTTTGGTCAAAAATACAAAAAAAAATACACAAACTTCCAATACAACTTGTAAAGTTAAGTATAAAAAAATAAGTGATTGATGAAATTTACATACTACGGAAATTCATTTGTTTCCAAAAGTACTCTCCTCTAAAAGTTCCAAGAGCCATGGTGATCTCTCAAGCGAAACAAAGGTAGGTAAAAACAAATGACTTAAACAACTCAAACACCGAAATTGCACTTAAGGGAGACAGTGTTGATGGAAAAAATAACAATAGAAATGGGCCATTTTCTGACTGTTCTACACTTCAAATGAGTCGCAGCGACTAGAGAGAGAGAGAGAGAGCACACAGCATCGACAAATACAGAGAGAGAACACACAGAGAGAGAGAGAGAGGGGCAGACCTTTTTGGTTGAGCAACAATGAAGGCTTGAACGAGAAGAACGATGATAATGGAACAATGAGCCCTCCTCTCCTCCTCGAGACCAAGCGACCAACGGCCGGTGAGTAAGACTGAAAAAGTGAAAAAGTGGAAATGGATTAAGGTTATGCTTTTTTTGGTACTTTTATATATTTGGATAAATGAGTTAAACGAGTAATAAATGGGTAAGTCGGGTTCGAGTCAAATTATATCAACCTGTTTAAAATATACAGGTTAATCAGGTCAAAATCGAGTTGACCTAATTTTGATATGAACCCGACCTGCTTTTTTTTGTGTTTATACATGTTGACTCGTTTTTATTCATTGACCCATTTAATTTCGTGTTTGACCCATTAATTTCGTGTTCAGTTCGTATCGTGTTAACATGTCGTATCAAAATTTGACAGCCCTAGTAGTCCTCATTTGTGGGGTCCAAGAGCATCTCCAACCCACTCTCTATTCCACTATCTATTTCTCATTTCACCCAAATGGCTCTCCAAATGTAAATAGTCATTTAGCCTCTCTAAATTATCTCTCTACCTTTTTTTTTCTCTATCTCTCTATATATATATGTTATTTTTCTTTTAAATTATTGGAAGTTAGCGAAAGTTGGATGAAGTAGTTAGCTAAAATAGAGAGTGTGGTTGGAGTAAATTTGTAAAAGTAAGTAGTTAAAGTAGATAATGTAATATTTAAATATATTTTTAGTTAATTATTTTAGAGAGGTGGATTAGAGATGCTCTAAATCAAACAGAGCTAATTGAATAAAAACTTGACCCTTTAACAGTATTTTCTTTTTTCTGTCTTTGAAAGCCTTTTAATAAGACCACCTTTGCATTTTTGTTTTTCTACGGACAAAGCACTATTATGTGAATCTCGCTCTTTTTTGTTATACTAGAATTCAAATAAACATACCGATCATGTTCTTCAAACAACCATTAATATGGTGAAGAAGTCAAAATAATATATTATTGTCCACAATAATGTAAAATCGATAATTACAATTACTAGTGTAATGTAAAAATTTAATAGCTAAGAATGCAATGACAGAGACAAGAGACCTAGTTAAGTTAAATTAAAATGTGATTCGTCCATTGTAATATGCATCACATAACTTCGGAGTAAAGTGATAACATGAACAAATTGCAAACTTAGAATTTCTGAATTCAAATTTTGAATGACTCATTGGGCTCAAGTCATGAAGGATTTATTCTTTATGAATACCGTCATCCCAACATGGATAACCCACTTTTAACCGAATCAAAAAAAAAATAATTAAAATACACGTAAACTAATTTGAACATCTCCGACCGTTGAAAAAAAAAATTCTATATATTAAGTTAAATCAAAATGTCCACCTTACGAGCTGTAGACAAAATGGTGAAATTGAGGCAACTTAGGCCAAATGTAATAGTTAATAGAATATGTTGCTTAATTTTTAACCAAATGCATCATGCTTCACGTGATATGATCACATGACCACTTAACAGGCTCAAGATTTTGGGTGCTAGAATCATTGCTTAGCTTGGTTGGTAGTGGGCTGAAGCTTAGGTATTGAAATACCTTGTGCCCTTCTTGGGGGTGTGAACCCTATCCTCCCAATATGACATGGTTTAAGTTCACGACATCGATCATTGATTAGAAGAACAATAAAATACATCAATTGTGATATCGTAAAATTGTTTGAGATAATATACATGAAATGTTATATAAAAATTTAAAATGACGATACATTCAAGGGATGTCTCAAGCAACTCAACAAGTTACGAGAGTCTCATACTTTACACACAAGATCAAATTGAAAGTTGGCAAGTTAGAAGCTACCCAGCCAAATTGCATTTGTATTGTTTGATGCTTTCAACCATGCGACGGGAGACAAGGCGATAAGATTTAAACCCTTGTGGTGAATGAGTTAAGCTTGGATCATTCTCTTAAGTTATTGAAATTCATTGGCTCCTTTTGTGCACCTGATCAGGTCGCTAGTGGGTACCTCCTCCTTTGAGTGCAAGGGCTTATATGCGAGGGGGGAAGACGACTCTCTTCCGATGTGGGATTGCCTTAGGAAAGGGTCTTATTGGCGAAGAGAGGTAAAGGCTACTGCCGAACGCGCGCAGGTCAGCTGAAATCCTTCTGTGGGGGGAGGACATCCCGAACGCGCGGATAAATCCCCTAGAGAGACTATTGTCCAATGTTTGGAGGTCATCAGCAACCAGTTCAAACAGATTTGTCAGTGAAATGGGACAACTTGAATCTTCCTTCACATCCGGCACTGGTTGAAAACCTAGTGCAACTACCCCTACAGCAGTTCGATAACAAAATTTAAATACTATGAAGTATGAACCACTAAATTCAATTAAACACCAAAACAAAAATTTAATTCATGCTAAGCTCATGAAAGAATGCACCATTTAGCAGATTTTTTCGAGTCTTCTCTGAAAAAACGCGGCGCCAAGGAATTTCATGCGGTCCACAGAACAATTTCCGGGGCCTATAGCCTCCATTAAAGGTGTTGGAGAAGCCTTTTGCATGATAATTTGTGGAAAACCGGTCGAATGAAGCATCGGAAGAACACACACGTGCAACCAAGTCCAGCCTAGTTCTGCCAAACTCAAAACTGTGGCATGTCATTGGCATCATCCTAAACAAAAAACACTAAGTTAAAAAAAAAAAATTCACAAAAGTGTCACTCTTTTAATTAAATTCCCACTTCACGTAGTTGGTCAATTTCTTATTTACAGAACACCTACATAGAAAAGGAACATTTCATGCAAGAAGTAGAGTTTGAAAACTATGGAGGACAAACCTCAAAGGAATTCAACAGATGTCAAATGGGTGTCCAGCTGAAATCAAGTCTCTTTGCGGAGAGAGAGAGAGAGGGAGAACTTGCAGTTCAAACCAGAAAGAGCAGTGCAATGTGGGTTGAGATTCTCTCTATCTCTTAAAAGCAAAGGACAGTGATCCAAGGATAGAGGAAGCACTGATCTTTGAGGACAAGAGATTGTACAGAGTCAAGAGGGTTAGTAGAGGTAATGAAGCGACCTTGCATGGCAGTCAAATATACATGAGTCCTAGCAGTTGTTGATCAATGGGCGATCACTGAAACAAATTTTGGGATTAAATTTGGAGTCCAAATGACATGACAGTAGATTATTTAAAATTTTTATTGGGGCTCAAATGACATGACACCAATCAAAAAAGTCCAAGTCAACCGTTATGTCATTTAGACTCTAAATTTGGTCTTAAAATTTGATCAGTATAATATTACGGTTAATTTAATAATCTTACTTAGTACTTAGTTTAGAGACTTTATTTAGTAATCTAATACATTATATTCATTGGATTAATAATGAAGTTTTATTTAATGTTAGGATACACTTTTAATACAATGATCACAATACATTACATCCTCATATTATCTCCAATTAAATCTATACAATTACTCTGTTTAATAATATAAAATTTTAGAATAGAGATGTAAATCTTATGTAATCTTATAACTGCCACATCACATGTGTTTAGTACGTCGAGTAACGTGATAATTCATTACGGAATGGTGATACTATGTATAAGTCATTCGACATTTCATCATTACACTTGAATTTTAATTACGGGTCAAAATAATTTTTAAAACAATAATGATAGATTGGTCAAATTTTTGGATCAAATTTAGAGCTCAAATGACATGACAGTTGATTTGAGTTTCTTTGATTGGTGTTATGTCATTTGGGTTCTAATAAAAACTTCAAATAATTAACTGCCATATCATTTAAACTCTAAATTTACTTCTAAAATTTGATCAGTGTAACATTATTATTTAAAAAAAAATAGAGTAATACTTGAGACGCTCACTATTTCAAAGTCTACCTCTGCAATGTTTTGAGAAAGTCACATGTACGTGTCTTATCCCTATTCATGTCGATCAAACTCTTAACGCTCATATTATAATAGAACAATCTTTATCACTATGTTAAGATCGACTCGTGTGGGTCGAGATTACTTGACAACAAAAAGTTATATTTTGTAATTTTTGTATTGTTAAATTCATCATACCATTACCCTCGCTACAAAAAAAAAAAAAAAAATTTATGGCGGTAAAGTGCTATCATAAAATGTCTATTTGTCGTCACAAATACATTTTGTGGCGGCATTGTCTCGCCATAATAAGTGTGATCTCAAAAAATTTTTACGACAACAACGATCTGTCTCAAATAGTATTTACGACAACAAGACACTGTCATAATTAAATTGTCACAAAAAAAATCCGATTTACGGAGGCAACTATGCCGCCACAAAAAAATAATAATAATTTTTTTTTAATTATTATGGACTGTTAGTAACTAATTTTATATATATAACTTTTTTGGGGGGGAGGGTAAGGAGGCTTAAACCCTTGACTTCAAGAAGACAAAATTTTCAAAATATAAGAAATACTATTGAACCAAAGACTCATTGGTATCCGAACAACTACCCAATTCAATATATAGATAAACACAAAATTAAATATGACAAACATTTTCAAAAACATAGCAATATTTTCATATCAAAAAAAAAAAAAATCACTTGAGTTAAACAAAATATAAAATATGCACTTTTACAAAATATAACGATCCATGAGTATAAGAAATTAATGCAAAAAAGTTGAACATCATTCAAGAACCATCTACTCTCCCAATAATATTTGAAAAAAATATTAAATTATTGTTACTATACGGAAATAATATTTATATACATATATACAATAAAAAATTAAAAAAAGTTAGAATATACATCAATAGATGACCACACAATATTTCTCTGATCGGTTTATCCAATTATGTAAATGATATATAAACAAGTCATATCATATACATTTTTTCTAATTGGTTTCACCAATACCTGATTCGTTTATAATCATATCATATCTGATCCACTCGTTTACTAAACAGATAATTTAAAGAATACTCAAATTCACTAATTTTATGTCGTGTTAACGGGTCGTGTCATATTTTGGCACCCTAGTTTTGATATAAAAATTGACTTTGTAGAATTTATTTTTTTTTCTTTGAACTAGATATTATCTTTTGATGTAAAATTACGTAATTTTATAAAATATTACTTGTAACATGAAAAATAATTGTGGCCAATATAATTTTTTTTAGAGTTTTTCTTCTTTTAAATTTTTTTTAATCTAAAACAACATTTTAATGTTTTATGAAATATTTTATACAACGGAAAAAATAACTGCCATAAATATAAAAATTTCTTTTAAGTTTATGAAATATTATTTGCGGCATGAAAAATAACTGTCTCAAATATAAAAATTTCTTTTGAATTTATGACACTACTTACTGTAGAAAAAATAGTTGCCACAAATATTAACAAAATATTAATACAAACACGATTTTTATGACGGCAAATACAACCGCCACAAAAAATTATTTCAAAAATATCTTTTGTAACGGCGAACAAAAATGCAGTGAAAAATTTCTCACAAAAGGCTCTTATTGTTGCAGTGCCAACTGCCTGAATGTATGCAACGTATGACATGCACTATTTCTTAGTTTTTGGAGAAATGGACAAATGGGTTGACTGTTTTATTAACAATTGGTAACGTAATCCATCAAACGTAGGGGTTGGGCTGTAAGAAAAGTGGAAAAAATGGAAACTTGGCCCAAATCTATAATTAATTACAAATATGATCACTTAATTGTCAATCAGAGTCATCAATTCTTCATGTGATAATTAAGTGACTTTAGGTTTTAGGCAAATGCAACGAAGGCCAGCTTGACCATTCTGATTACTGTATTCTGTATAAAATATGTCAACATAATATTAGGGGTAATTGTGTCCTATTTCCCATTTTCTACCTATGTCAGTATGCCAGTATGAATGGCGATAAAGAGTAAGTTATTCAAATGCAAAAAAAAAAAAAAAAGAGTAGAGAATATGTAAAATTTAAAAATAGTTAAAATTTAGCTAATCAAAAATAAAAATTATATTCTAATAGAATATGTTTAGATGCTCTAAAATAATTTTTTATTACAATGATACTCTAAGCAACTTGTATAACTACTTTATAATTTTTTTCTCTCTCCTCCTATCATTTTTGATGGGCCAAGCCCAAATGGGTCGATCCATGTGAGAAGTCCAATCTTAAATAAGAGTCTAGTCTTATAAAAATTCGCCAAGCCTGATATGGTCCAAGTCTAGTCAAGCTCATCAGGGAGCTACGTCAGCTTGATTACGTCATCAAAAGAGCGTCCGGGACTCTCACCCTCAACCTCACCGTCTTGGAAATAGTCAACTCTCACCTTATCTCTGATCGAGTCTCGTGGGAAGCACCTCAACCACTTCATCCGTTGAGAAAAAGTCGTGAGCTCCACAAGAATAGTTACTTAGTTGCTATTAAACCGCCCCGATCTGTTAAGGGACGACTATAAATTGTAAGTCTCACCAACACTTAGGGGGCAGAATCATCACACTCAACTAAGCACAATTCTCCCCTCTCTCTCTAAGCTTGTAACTCTCTGATGTCCTTACACTTGAGTAAATAAAATACCTGGCGACCCTAGCCATTCAAAAGTGGGCGTAGGTTGCATTGACCGAACCACTATACTTCTTTTCTTCTATATTTATTGATTAATTACTACATTTATTACTGATACTTGACAGGTGGTGTGCAAAGCCAATTTGTGAATCATCAGTTTGGCGCCGTCTGTGAAAACTCGACAAAGTTCTCATTTCTAAACATTTTATTTGTTGAACCAATGACAATAACTACCAGATTCATGAACCAACCTGAAGATAACCCCTCACCATGAGAGGAGGAGGTTACTCCTCCACCAACCAATTATGTCCCAAATGCGCAGCAAATGCTCAAGACCATGTAGCAAATTGTGGCCCAAAACCAGCATATCCTGCAACTAATGCTCGTTGGGCAAGGAGGAGCACAACTTGGACCTCAAGCTCGAGGAGCTCCACGCCCTAAGCGTCGAGGAGCTCCACGCCCTGGGCGTCAAGGAGCTCCCCACATGGATGTTCCTCATCTGGGTGCCCCCTTTGGAGCCCCCTTGGACGTCTCACCCTTGGGAGCTCCATTAGGGGCCTGCACAGTGGAGTTCCCCACAAGGGACCTCCACTCCCTCCTCCTACTCCCCCTTCTCATGGTGAAGACCCTCTTTTCCATGAGGACGAAGGGGAGAACCAGAGCGTGAAGCATGGAAGCCATTTCTATGATAATTCCAAAGGAGTTCCCAACCACTAGGATGAAAAGATAAAAGAGGTGTAAAATCAAATGGGTGACATCTTTAACGCCATGAAGGCACAAGGACCTGAGATTGTGGATAACCTCATCAGACGAACAAAAACGTCTTGAAAACCTGACGTGGCAAACTACCCTCTCCCTCAAAAGTTCAAAATGTCGTCAGTGGAGACCTTTGATGGAATGAAGGATCAACTAGACCACCTCGAATCCTACAAAACTCTAATGCAGCTGCACAACGTCCCAAAAAAGATCATGTGTAGGGCATTCCCAACCACCTTGAAAGTATCCGCTCGACAATGGTTCGCTAAGCTCTCCCCAGCCTCCATTACCTCTTTTGCTGAGCAAAACAAGTCCTTTGTGTCATATTTCATTGGAAGGCATCACCACCAGAAGCC